CTTGGCAATCGGCAGATGCACTAGGAAAAAGAACGAAGCATTCCAAATGTTTACCTTCTGGAAAATATTTCTAAAGAGAATAACTCTTTTTTAATAACGGTATTGACATCGATACCCGAGTTATATGAAAGCTATTTATCATCTTGAGTATCTATTTTGCTTTAGTAATTCTTCTGAATAGCCCTTGGGCGTAATTACTTTTTCGAATGAAAATTCCCCTTCGTTTACTCAAAATTTATCTTGAGCCTTTGTCGCCTCCTTTCGTTTCATGAGAATATCCCACTGATTTTAATACTCCTGGAACGCTTTTTATGCACCATAAAATTCTGGTGGAAGTTATTGTTGAACAGGATGGAGGAAGGAGCCCGGTAAGGACGAAGGATGAACAGAAGAAAAGACTAATAGCAGCAGCGTTGAATAACAAGAAGAACAAAGAGTCAAGAAGAAGAACATGTATAACACCGAAAAAACTACGGAAGAACAAAGAACAATGAAGAATAGGAGAATAAACAGGCTGGGAAGTCATATTTTGTTTCAAAATCACTTCATATTTTTCAGAGATGAAAATAATTCTTATCTGAAAACAAAAAATCCAAATTTACCTTCCTTCGGGAAATAAAACTTGTATGACGATATAAAGAGTTCCTGAGGTCAGATTGGAGATGGCACCTACGACAGAAATCACAAAACCAGAGCTGCCCTACAGGAAAATTGATTTAACAAAAAGGATTAGTTTTAAAGCAGAAGAAAGGTGAAAAAAATATTAATTAATAAATATACTTTTCGTAGCATGATCTTACAATCTTAGTATTATAGGACAATTAGATTTGTATAGTTGTCATAAGTTCTATGAAAATTTAAATGATAGCCAAAATAAAGAGTTCTCCAACTTACGTTGTTGTCTCCAATAAGTTCTGTTGCAAAACCAAGGGCATTAACAAGCATGGCGGAGGACCCAAACCCCAGTAGAATGACGGCCGGGTAAGTTAACACTCTCGATGACTGGTTAATACGCAGAAACCACATACACGACCCAGTCACGGTCAGAGCAGCCACAATGAAGGACCACTGAAACAGGATGAGGAGCTTCAACAGATAGCTAATACATATATCATTAAATTCTCGTTTTCGAATTCCAGTTTTCTGATCTCGGTGCTGGTCACCAGCCTATATACCAAATAACCTTATATGGAAAATAACCATCTGAGCTTTCCTGAGCTGGGTTAAGAAATACTAGTCAATGTGATCTCGGTAATAATAAAAAAAAAAGCTTAAGTAAAACTACGATATGACACTATAGGTACGTAACGTTAGGGTTTTTGAAAAAAATTACAGCTAAATTCAGGGATTTATGGTATAGAAAAAATATAGCCATATCAGGCAAAAACAGCTGGTTACCTCCAAAAATTTCAGGATGACTCACAAATTTTCCCTAAAATTGTCCCCTCTGGCCAGACTTTAGTTACAAAGCTTATTCACTCGTCTCACTCCGTTTGCTACCACACAGCAAAACATTTGTTAATATGCAAATAGCTTCTTGATAAGCTGGAAGTTTTAGAAATTAATCCTTGAGTCAAACATGTGGAGCAGGAAATATTGAGTTCAGTATGTCTAAGTGAGGGTTGTCTCGATCGCCTCATTTTCGATTTCGTGAAAAAAAAAACAAAAAAAACAACAATTGGACAAACTGTACAGAACTTTAACGCTTGTTAACTAGCTGGAACCGAAAAACACTGTCAAATTCATGCTTGTCTCAGATGAATTCTTGCGCGTGCCCTTGCAAGAACGTTTTTTGGATTTTAAAACAATTTATTTTGTGTCGTGGTCAGATCCAGCTGCGCAAACTGCTTAGCGTTTGAATTTCATTCAGCTCCGGCTTGTTGGCGTTTCAGACCAGACACAAAGAGGGTAATTAAATTGCTATTCGGTTATCAGCTTTCAATCTTGTCCACGATCATCGCTTACATTAGAAAATTACCTGAAAATAGTTTTCTTTCTTTTCATTACCTTCTTTCCTACTTTTCCAGAGAGCTTCCTTGATATTTGAGAGGACAATGTGGCGCTCATTAACAATATCAAAGGCAGATTGGCAATCGCTTCCTTCAAAAAAAGCACAAACGTCTGAGGTTGTAGAAATTACAACCTAAAACCTGAAGGAGGTTTGTAGTCATCATGAGGATTATTTTTCGCTCTTTGGTAATGCCTAAACCAGCATCAAGTCGTTCTTACCTTGTAACTTTCCGCTCCTAGTAAAAGTGGGGCATTGACAGAGTAAGTTTCTTGGCAATAAACAGTAGAGTATGAAGGCTAACAGGAAAGTGATTCGGGGCCGGGTGTTTTACTCGTAGTCTGACCTAAGCAGTAATTTGGCACAACTACTCCATATTTCAATTCTTTCAAATGTTTAATAAATTAAATGATGATCTTTCTGCCTCTCTGCCTATCTGTCTGTCTGTTGTGTGTTTCTACCTGTCCGCCTGCCTGCCTGTCTATTTGTCTGTCTGTCTGTCTGTCTGTCTTTCTATCTGTCTACCGGTCTGTCTGCCTGCCTGTCTGTCTCTCCTTCCGTCTTACTGTAAAGTTGGCTAATTGACGGTAAAGAAGGAAGAAAGGAAACGAGAATGGACGAGTAACCAGGTAATTGGTTAACCATTGCAGAAGATCGTAACTTTTAACTACTTAACTTTATAACTTTTACTACCTTTCAAGCAGAGAAAAATTAATCAACGAAATCAATTTCTTAAAAGTTTGCTGGTACATACTTTTTCAAATTGCAGTTTGTCAGTCAGGAGAAGAGGCAGGTAGGCGTAAAACACATCCTGTGAACCCTTTGTGCACGCGTAAATAATTGCGACCTGTAAGATAAGAGAAGTGATCTGCATTCGTACAAAAGTCACATCCAACCGTGCCATAAATTTACTTATAACAATATACTAATTTACGACGTATTACCTGCACTAAAGTTTTTCCTACAATATAAAGACGGGGAAGTATGTTCCGGAAACCACTTTTTCTTTAACTACGTCATTATGAAATCCTGTGTGTGTAGAAATGTTTTACTTACGGCGTTTTTAGATTCCAAAAAGTATCCTTACTGTTCAAATTTTATCTTCTGAAGAGGCGGGAGACTATGGATGCCGTCAATTGAAAGCAACTCAGTAACCTGGCCGCTTGCGCAAAATTGCAACGCGAGGCTCACAAATAGCTGCCACATTGGTTATTGCAAGAAAAAAGAACTTTGTTTTTTATTTAAAATATGCATTTTTCTGAACTTTCAATTGTGCAAAGAAATCACCATGAAAAGGAAAACATGAAGACTGAGACATTTTTTTTTGTCACAGGTAAGAGGCCAAACATAGCGGGACTGGAATCGGTTTTTCAGCACCTTTATAGACCATTTTCGAGAAGTTAGGTTACCTTTTGAAATCTCATGGTCGGTGTCATAATCTGTCAAACATATTTTAATGGTGGAGAGAAAAATCATGTGGTTCCTGTTGTGTATTTCTCCCTGGATCATTTGCAATAGACTCGCTTGAATTTCTTAAAATAAACTACTCAATTATGTTCATTTTTTTTTAGTGTGAAAGCTTAAGATTACATTGCAAGTACAAACGAGCGTTCAAATTGCATGCACTCAAAAATTGAAATTAGGCAAAGACCTTTTCACTGTACTCAAAATTAAGTTACCTTGTACAAATGAGGATCTTTGAGCCAGGTTCTCACTGCCTTTCGTTTTGGTGGTTGAGCGGATTCAATATCAGAAGCAACAGATGGCACGGCTTTTCCCTCATCCTGGCTAACATCTTGAGAATGTTGGTTAAGCTGTGTTTCTTTTGTATCGAATCCTTGATTGTCAACACCAGAGTTCAGTTTGTGAACTTGGTTGTACACTTCTGACTTTTGTTGTCCATTTTCCATTACTCCCTGGCCATCCTCTTCGCTTATATCATTTACGAGTCTGCCATTGCTTGGCTTTGCATCGTTTTCTTTTGTAGAATCTTCTTGTTTTGTCATGAGTTTATCAAAGATG